AGGATAAAGACAGTTTATTCTATCAATAGAATAAGGAGGTAGATCAAGTGATGTCTACACTTGATCTTAGCCCAAAGGCCGAGAAGCAATGAAACGGATGTCTAAAGAACTACTGTTAGCCAGTGTTGTAGTTCAATGGGTTAAGCAACCACTTGAAACATTGGTATCCAATAAGAATTTCAGTTCAAGTCCTGGCTGCCCCACTTTTGATCTCTCTCCCTGCTAATGTGCCTGGGAAAGCAGCAGAAAGAGGCCCATGTGCTTGGGCCCCTGCACCCATGTGGGGGATCCAAATGCAGTTCTGGGCTTCAGCCTGGCCTACCCCCACTCCCATCATTGTGGCCATTTGAGCAATGACCCAGTGGATGATGGAAGATCTCTCTCTCTCTCTCTCTCTCTCTCTCTCTCTCCCCCTTCCTCTCTCACTGTAACTCTGCATTTCAAATAAATCTTTTAAAAAATTAAATTACCATCCTCCCAAGAGAAGATGGTCCAGGGGTCTTAAAGGGTTCAGAAGAGAATGCCAGGCTTGGGAGGATATGATTAAAACTATGTCAGGAATGACAAACAGGGGCTCAGGAGTAAACAACCAATTAACCTGGTGGCAGGTCCAGTAACAGAATGATGTTTGTAAATCTCAAAGTCCTTAAATTTTTAAGGAACAGGCTAAAAGAGAATTGATGGCCTGATCTTAACATGGGTGGATCATAACAGCATATTCTTCATGCGTGAGTGATGCAAAGCATCTGAAAGAGGCAAAGCATTGTGTTCAGATTCTAGTGTTTCATTAACCATAATGAGGCCCACTCCCTGCCCCCTAAAGTCTATGATTAGCTTTACTGTGCCCTTAGTCACCCACACCCCATTACACTGTGTTTAGTGACCTGCACCCCATTACATCCTGTTACAATCTCTGGTTCAAAGGGAAGGGAGAGAATGTGGGGCATGTGTGGCTTGAGGTTGAAGGAAGACATATTTTATGAGTCTGCTTTTAGTTACTTTGACTAAACTAACTGAGAGAAGCTACTTAGAAAGGAAGAAGACTTGCTTCAGTTGACAGTTCAGAGGTTCTCAGTGCAAGACCAGATGGCCCCACTGGTTCTTCAGTCACCTGGTAAGGCCAGAAGATGGTGCAGGGTGAGTCAAGAAGCAGAGGGACACAGAGAGCACTTGCTGTGTCCTGTGTGCTCTCCTTATAACTCTGTCATGATTCAATCATGGATCCGGTCACATCTGAAAGACCCCAACCCCACCCTCTATCTATCAATCATTAACATTAATACCTCAACCTGTAATATACAACTTTGGGGGTTAAAAGTCTACAAGAGTCTGGAGAGTTAAATTCTGTTCAAACTGTAACACATGGACTGTCTGTTTCTACACATCTATGCTATTACTGTTAATTGTTATTGATGTCATTTATCTTTGTTCATTAACAGGATGACAGGGCAATTTAGTAATACATTAATTTATGTTTTGTTTTGCTTTTTTTTTCTTTCCATCATTCCAATTGGTAGCCAGACCCTTTGTGATCCTTGGCCTCGCGGCACTTGAAGAACTGGCATGGAAGCTGCTCATAATCTTTGGTGAAAGCTGACACTCACAGAAAGCCTCGACTCCTCCATGAGGGGGGACAGGCATGAGATGACCACGTGATGGTAGTGAGGGGCAGAGCCCTGGAGGGAACATTCTAAATCATGGGGAAGTGACAGTGATCTGCACCTGCACCCTGGCAGGAATGGTTTCCTGGGGCCCTCAGGTAAGAGGGAGCCCATCTCCACAATGAAGCCTGGGCCCTACCTGTACCCAAGCATGACATGGAAATACAAATTCAGATGCCCATGCAGCCCTCCACAGGGAGCTATTTGAAAATTAAAGACTCTTTGCCATTTGCTTAACACTGTTTTACAAGCTGGAGATACACCAGCGGATAAAACAAGGGTCCTGCCTTCAGAGACTTCACAGGCCAGTGTCAGGTACTAGTGAGACCCAAGGAAGTGCCTGGAGGCTCCAAACATGGTGAGACTGAATCTCCTAAATTATGGAGATTTAATTTGGTTGAAGAAAATAAAAGAATTGGTCCATTTCTTGCAGACTTGACTTAGTGCTAATAAATTCTTGCCTGCAATCAGTGATGGTTGCCATTTTTTCTATGTCTTTTATGTGTCAGGTGGGTGCTATAATAAATGTTTATTTTGTTCTCTTCAATATTCTTTTAAGAATTCTGTTGAGTCATTTTCTTCATTAAGTGTTCACCTGATAACCTGTCCACCTAAGCATGAACCAGAATGTAGTGTACAGATGAAATCGGGCACGTTCAGGGTGGTATGGCCCTAGAACAGAATGTGGTGTACAAATCCTCCCAAGTGGAACTGAACGCTTGGACAGATTAATTTGCAAGATAATAGGGTCCATCCTGCATGTCTTTCCCTACTTCCCTAGCTCCTCTTCCTCTGCCAAGCTTTGTCTGCTGGTGTTTCTCCCAAGGTTCTGTCCTTGATCCTCTTCTCTTTTCGTGCCACTCTTCCTGAGAGAGGACCATCATTTTCATGATCTACATATTAGCCACAGTGTGGGAAATCTCCAGTCTGAGGTCCTGTCGGTGTATATATCCAAGAGCCCATATGAAATTCATATGCAACATGTTAAAACTGGAGCTAACTTTCTCCCCAGACCTGCTCCCCTCTGATAGTCCTTATTTCAGGGTACAGTACCGACACCCATCCATTTAAGTCAGAAACCTGGCAGCCACCCAGACTCTGCCCTCCTCCTTACATACAACATATCATGAGTTACTACCTTTAATCCCATCTGACCCTTAAGCTCTACTCCTATTTCTGTAATCTTACTGTCTACTTCTATTATCATAATTCTTTTTATTCATTTATTTGCAGACTTACAAAGTGTGGGGGGAGGGAGAGAGGGAGGGAGGGAGAGAAGGAGAGAGGGAGAGAGGGAGATGAGAGAGAAAGATTTTTCATCTGCTGGCTCTCTCCCCAGAAGGTCACAATGGCCAGTGCTGGGCAGGCTGAAGCCAGGAGCTTCATCGAGGTCTCCCACATGGGTGGCAGGGGCCCAAATACTTGGGCCTTTTCCACTGCTTTTTCCAGGCCATTAACGGGAGGTGGATCAGAGTAGAGCAGCCTTAACACTAGCTGGCACCCATATGAGATGATAATAACTTACACAAATAATAATTTTGTGTATTATCATCTTTTGCTTGAGTATTGCTAAAGACTTTTAACTGGCCTCATCTCTAATCTCTATCCTCCAGATTAGTGTTGCCAAAAGATCTCACAAAAAAGAAAGAAAGAAAGAAAGAAAGAAAGAAAGAAAGAAAGAAAGAAAGAAGGAAAGAAAGAGAGATTTATTTGAAAGAGTGACAGGGAAAAGAGAGCAGGAGATCTTCCATCTGCTGGCTCACTCCCCAAATAGCCACAAGAGCCAGATCTGGGCCAGGATGAAGCCAGGAGTCAGGAACTCCATTCAGGTTTCCCACATTGGTGATAGAGGCTCAAATACTTAGCTAACATCTGCTGCTTTCCAGGGGCATTAGCTAGAAGCTGGATTGAAAGTAGGTCAGACAGGACTAGAACTGGTACTCCAACATAGGATGCTGGAATCACAAGGATTGGCTTAATTTGCTGGGACACAACGCTGGGCCCCTCCAAAAGACATTTAACATGAATATTTACACATTTAGTGTCTTCCATCACAAAACTCAGCTTTCCACTGTTTACAGTAGAAGTCCAATCCCTTTGGCCTGGCCTACGAGACTCGTGATCCACTCTTAGAGCAGGGGATCCTCAGGAAGTTTATAGAAAATGTCTCTGATGAGAAACTATGTATAGATTTCAAATGTTTTATGAAAAATGTTATCCATAATATAATTTTCCATAAACTTTTTCAAGTGCATTGTCAAACACTCTAGTCCCTCCACTCAATATTTCTTCATTAAACCCCTTCCACCTGTCCAGGTTGAGTCCCAGCAGCTGCCACCCCCAGCCCCTGGAGCACACTGGTTCAGGGCTCCTGGCTTGCTCAGGGACCTTGGGTCCTGCAATGACCTCTGTCTTTTCTGTTTCATGAAAACCCACTTGTCTGTGTGCACTCACCACAAAGGCTGCCTCCTTTCTGAAGCTCTCCACACCATCCCTCCACCTCCAGCACAGCCGATTTCCTTTGTACAATACCTGGCATGCATTTCTCATGGTCCCTACAGTATTTGGATGCCACATTAACAGCGTACATGTCTTCTCTTTAGGAGACTAAGCTCCGGGGGCTAGAGATCCTATCTTAGCCTTTTGAATCCCAAAGCCTAGTGCTGTGTGTGGTGTATAATTAATGTGATCTTGTGCTTGTTCACCCTGCTTAATTATTAACTACACCTCTTTCACTCTCAAAAGTGTCTGGTCTGGCAGACAAATTATATGGTCTATCTGCACGTAGCATGTGCTTGGCAAAGGTTTCAGTGTATGAATTAGTAAGTCCTGGTTTTCCTTAATGAGAGCTGGCATCTGAGCACCTATTCCCATACAATATACTCGGATTTGTTGACAATCTTTCGAAAGTCAGTTGCTTATGATGGTGTCTTTTTCCCTTGGCTTCTCCGCCGCCTGACTTAACATTGCTTCAAGTAACCCTGGGCAACCCGGCACACAATAAATTGCCTTCTGGACTCGCTGCAACATTTCTAGGGTTTGCTGTAGTTTATCTCAAGATTTTGTGATCGGCAGGAAAATTTCCTGCCAGTCTTTTAAAATCTCAACGAACTTATAAAACCCAGAACAGGCTGAGATGCAACAGCTGAAGTTTTCCGAATTACCCCCCCAACCCAACCTTACCTACTTTCCCTCACATTTAGATATTGCCAGCCAGCGCAAAAGTTGGGCTTTGCCCAAAAGAAAAATGGTCTCCTTCGGCATCATCGCCCTTTCCTCGTGGACCAATCGGAATCCCAAGTTCAGGGCACCGGAGTCCTCACTTCCGCCAGTTCTTCCCGGGCCTCCCTAACTTCTCCAGGAGAGTCGCGCCCGTCAGCCTCCGACCGGGAAGTGCTTCCGGGGCCGCGGCGGCGGGGCCGAAGGCAGCTTGGCGGCATGAGCGGGGCGCGCGGCGGGGCGGCGCGGACGCTGCGGGTGCCGGGCCGTCACGGCTACGCGGCCGAGTTCTCCCCGTACCTGCCGGGTCGCCTGGCCTGCGCCACCGCGCAGCACTACGGCATCGCGGGTGAGGCCGGGCGGGGTGGGGGCCTGGAGCGCGGCGGCACCTCCCGCTCGCGGAACTGCGCTGCCGAGAGTGGACAGTGCCCGTGTGCCGACGCCAGGGGGCGGCAGAGGCCCCGGCCCGCATCGCTTGCCTGTTTTGCTGAGCCTGGGAAGTGAGTTGGTCCGCAGAGAATCGGTCCACTCCTCCCCTGGCAGCGTGGCGGTAGACCAGTAGCCGGTTCCTTGTTCTTGAGACGGTGTGCAGGGGGACCCCAGTGCTTGCTGACCGGGCCCACGTTTCTCACCGTTTGCATCCGAGCCCTGAGCCTCCAAGAGTGCATGCACGAAACGTTCAAGTCTGTGCTGCCTTTGGTTGTTTCGCTGGGAACCGAGATGTTTGCAAGCACTTAGAAGCGCGAGCTCGTTGTTTGAGTTCGTGGACTGTAGGTGGACAGTTGAGTGTCCATCTTGAGTGTACTGTCAAAGTAAAATTCATAGCCTAGCTGTGGTTTACGCTCTGAAGCCACGTGCATTGTCATTGCATAATGTCAGGGATTGATGGTACTTTTTGTTAGCCCACAGCAGGGGAAAAAAAGTAATTTCTACAATTATAGGGAGAGAAATGCCCGCTTGCTTGTATTATCACCACTAGTGATTGGTGCTTGCACTTCCGGTTTACAGAACCCGCCCACTAGTTAGGTTCAATACTGGTGAGTCTGTAATGATCAGACTTAACAAATGCATGTCCACCAGCCACGCTGAGCACTTGTGAGCCTGTGATGCTGCTTTGCATCTTTTGCAAAAACTTGGAAGGAGTTGCCATTAACATTTACTCTCCTCGGTAGAAGGGTATTTCTCCCCTGGTTTCTATAAAGATAAATATATAACATTTCAAATATATTGGTCCTTTAGGAAAATAATTCATCCTTGCTAGTTAGCTGGTATCGATACTGTTTTCAGCACTTCATCTCCAAGCATGATTGGATTTTCCTGTGAAATCTGGTGTTCGCTGTATTTTAGATCTGTTGGTGAGACAGGGTGATTTAGTAGAAGAGCACAGGTGGTAGGCAGGGTCACTTAGTCAGAGGTTTCTCATCTGTGAATGCGGGGGGCAGAGGTTGGCAGGTGCATCCCAGAGCAGGCACTGAAGTGTCTCTCCCCTCTGGGCTGGGACTGGATTCAGGTCATAGGTGAGAGGGTGATGAATGTAATGATTGAAGCATGCTATGGTAGTAAAATCAGGTACTCGGGACTGGATACCTCCTTGACTTTAGGTGTTCCTTTGGCAGGTTCAATGGCATAATCTTGATTTTTTTTTTTTCTTTTGAGGCTGTGGAACCTTACTTGTTTTGGATCAGGATGAATCTGGGCTTAGGGTTTTTCGAAGGTAAAGTGACTCTCATGAATAAATATACAAAATCCCTGTTGTTGTGAAATCTTGAATAGTGTTAGGTTTTGAATCATTTTAGAAATTATTTATTTGAGAGGCAGAGAGAAAGAGAGAGCAAGCTGCCATCCACTGGTTCACTCCCCAAATGTCCTGGACAGCCTGAAGCAGAAGGCAAAAAGCCCAGAGCAGGGAAACTCAATCCAGGTCTCCCACCGTGGTGGCTGGGACACAACGACGTGGGCCAACACCACAACCCGGAAGCTGGAGTCAGGAGCTGGAGGCAGGCACTCAACCCAGGCACTCCCAAGTGGGACGTGGTGTCTTAACCACTAGGCCAATTGCCTGCCCAGTTTTGAATCTTTTGGATCGATGTTTTAATCAGCAGTATTAAGGAACTTAAGTATTTCTGTAGTGTAGAACTCTTTTCTTCCATGAAGTGACGATTGTGCCACTTTTCTTCCAAAGCTTATCTCATAGTGTCAGTTTGTAAGTCATAACACTTAAAAAGAAAACAAAGGAAGCAGTTAGTGTATCCTGTAACATTGCTTACCGTTACTGTCTTCCTGCTGGAACGTGGCTTTCGTCGCGTAGGAGTGAATGGCTCGCTTTGTAGACTGCCCAGGACCTCATTTCATTTCTTCCCATGCCTGTCTTCCCTGGGTGACCGCCGAGCTCATTAACACTTCCGGCAGGGCCAGTCAGAGGTAGAGAAGAGAAAGGAGATTCTGGCAGAAAATAACTCCCTACTCGTAGCTATTCATAGCTGTTCAGGGTAGATAGAGATTTATGTGGCAAACATTATATAGCTCAGGTGAAAGGCTTACTGGGAAAGTTGAAGTTACTGGTCTAAATTAGCATTTTGAAGTGCTAGCCAGCCCATCCTGTGAGTCACAAAAGACCATGAGCACCCAACTAGGGCAGCATGGCCTCACGTGGAGTTCTGTCTTCATGCCTGGGAGACCTGTTGTAATCCAGCTCTGTGCTTTCCTACCTGTCTGGTCTGGGTTAGTCCTTTTACCTTTCTGAACTTGTACCCCTTACGCTCTACTTGTAAACATTGTATGGGCTAATGTGTATTAAAAATGCATGATAGGGGCCAGTGCTGTGGCGCAGGGGGTTAATGCCCTGGCCTGAAGTGCCAGCATCCCTTATGGGCGCCGGTTCTAGTCCCAGCTGCTCCACTTCCAATCCAGCTCTCTGCTATGGCCTGGGAAAGCAGTAGAAGATGGCTCAAGTGCGCCCCTGCACCCACATGGGAGACCTGGAAGAAGCTCCTGGCTCCTGGCTTTGGATCAACAAAGCTCCGGCCTTTGTGGCCATCTGGGGACTGAACCAGCAGATGGAAGACCTCTCTCTCTATCTTTACCTCTCTCTGTGTCTTTCAAATAAATAAAATAAATCTTTAAACAAAATGCACGATAAACTAAGGAAAACAAAACAAACCCAAGACTATGAAATTATGATTGATCATCTTTTCTGATCAGCTGCCTGTGTCAGTTTTTGTTTTCGTTTTGAATCTTTCTGGTGTAGCTTTGACTGGAACGACGGTTTGTTTGACGTGACCTGGAGCGAGAACAATGAACACGTCCTTGTCACCTGCAGTGGCGACGGCTCGCTGCAGCTCTGGGATACCGCCAAAGCCGCTGGGCCCCTGCAGGTCTACCGAGAGCACAGCCAGGAGGTAGGAGGGACGTCCCTGGGGCAGACTGGTTTTCCTTCCTAGACTTCACTTGAAATCAACTTGGGGATGGCTGCATGGGGAAATGTCTTCAGGGGACAAGTTCAAAGTTGAGTGTTTCTTGTATATATTAGATGTCACTTAGAATTTGATTATCCGAACATAAAGTATCTCTTGGCCTTAAGGAGTTGGGAAAGAAAAGAAAAGGTCAGTCTTCTCATTAGGCAGTGGAAATGCTCGCCTCCAGAGAGGCCCAGTGCTTGCTGTCTGCTGGGGGAATCAGCCAGCCTTGCAGTGCCTTCATGTGGAGGAAGTGGAGGCTTCGTAGACCCGAGGTTGTCTGCAGGGCTTCAGTAGGATTCTCAAGGATTTCCAGAATGTATTGCAGCGGGAGCATCAAATAGTAAGAAGAGGCAGGGTTTACTGAAGAAAGTTTACATCTGGTTCATGTGTTTGTCTCCTGTGTATAGCATAGAAAATAGTTTCAGTCATACTAAAATACATACATTTTGATTGAACATCACGGCCAAGACTTTTTTTTGATGTTTTTCATTAAATGCTTAAGAATGTTCTTCAAGGTAGCCACAGACTCTTCCAATGAAAACTTGCAGATTGACTTTGAAATTTGTTGTCCACCCCAGTGCCTGTCCCCTAGAAGGCCATCAATAAACACTTACTAGGTTTAACAATATTATTAGTCTGCTGTGATACAAATTTGTTAAAATGAGAATTTCAGCCGTAATTGTAGCTATTGCTATTAAGTGTTAATACTTCTAAGATTCTCACTGAAAATAAGGAAGAAGTTTAATTTCTCTAACATTGTAGTTCCTCTCATGAACTGGTGTGGTTGTAAATTACCATGGTTTCAGAGAATCGCTGGGCACTCAGACTGCTTTGGTAAAGGAAGAACAGTGGTTTTTGGATGTTTAATGCAAGAATCACCACATAGTACATCTTCAAAATTCAGACATTTTTGTGGTACTGTCAGGATTTTTGCCATCTTCAAATCCCACTTAGATGAACTGTTTATCTTTCCTCTTCTTTAGATATTTATATCTCAAAAGTCCCCCCCCCCCAAATCTTACGCCTTTTATTGCTTATCTGTGTAATTCTAACATGGTAACTAACAGATCATAATGTAATAGATGCAATTATATTATATGATATACATTGTTTTAATGTTTTCCTTTTAAATTAATTTAAGATTTAAAATTTTTACTCCATTTACCCTAAATCAGTAGGTTTTGATGGCTAGTTTAGTCTGTGCATTTACTTGTTTTTTAATGTAAACTCAGCATAGTGTAATGAAAAAAATACATGTAAGTAGCAAAGCCATCTCCTGCTCTGCTGGTGATGTGTGTACTCTTCCCTGAGAAATATTGTCCTAGAATGTCCTTGATGGATGGGTAGGCAGCAAATTTCACTGTCTCAGGAGATAACTTCTTTGATCTTTAGATTCCTCTAATTGTTTTAAAAAAAATCACTTCTGTTAAGCCCGAATGTACTTCCTTGTAGCAACCAACTATCGCTTCTGATGCCTTTCTCTGAAGCAATGAGAATAAATCTAGTCCCTCTTTTCCATGCAACCCTTGAAACCAGTCATTATGCCCCTTGGTCTTCCCTCTTCCCGACTGTGCATTTGTTACTTCAGATTGTTCTCACATTTCATGGCCTCTACACTTTTTGCCCTCCTGGTAACCCTCCCTTGCTACTTTCCCGGTTTTCCATGTTCCTTTCAATGTAGTACACTAATTTATTCCAGATATGTGATGAGCAGGGCTCAAAGTTAAGACTTTGCCACCGTAATCCTGAACTTCTAATCTTATCCGAAAAGGCTGTGCATTGTCTTCAGCCATGTCCTGGTTTTGGGTCACTCTGAATCCACCAATAAAACACTTAGATCTTTGTTACTTGATCTTCCGTTAAACAAGATTTACAACATTCTATAATAAAAATCAGCTGGGTTTTTCAACGAAGACACACTTTGTTTTCCTTTGTGTTTTTTTTTTTTTTTTGACAGGCAGAGTGGACAGTGAGAGAGAGAGACAGAGAGAAAGGTCTTCCTTTTGCCGTTGGTTCACCCTCCAATGGCCGCCGCGGCCGGCGCGCTGCAGCCGGCGCACCGCGCTGATCCGATGGCAGGAGCCAGGAGCCAGGTGCTTTTCCTGGTCTCCCATGGGGTACAGGGCCCAAGCACCTGGGCCATCCTCCACTGCACTCCCTGGCCACAGCAGAGGGCTGGCCTGGAAGAGGGGCAACCGGGACAGAATCCGGCGCCCCGACCGGGACTAGAACCCGGTGTGCCGGCGCCGCTAGGCGGAGGATTAGCCTAGTGAGCCGCGGCGCCGGCCTTTGTTTGTGTTTTATAGACTATTATTCTAGGTTCCATTTTCTTTTCAAATGACTAGTTTTGACAAGCATTTGTATCATTTAGGATGCTGTGGTTGTTAGTGTAATAGAAAACCCAAGTAAAAGTGGCTTTGGTCATCAGATTTTATTATTTTACATAGTCTGTATGGGTATGTGAAATGATTAGCTGAAATAATCTTTTTAGATATCTGTTATTGCAGTACCCCCACTTCTCAGTACTAATTCCTCATCAGTCAGTTGGGTTTGTTGTAACCCAGTACCATCATCTGGATGGCTATACAGGGTCAGAGAAATGTAAAACAAGTTAGAAATTCTCCAGTTACTTTTCTGACCACTTGATTACTGTGTCAGAAATGGCTAATTATCATTTTTCAGATGACCAGAGAAGCATAAAGAGAACTACAAGCTTTTGCTGTATTTTAGGCTTTGAGGAATGAAGGTCTTAGTGAAGTGAAAAGAAGGAAAAACATGGACATTGTCTGTGCAGTAGCTTCTAAACTTAGCATCAAAGCTGGAGTCGGATTCTTCTCTACTTGTATTGAGCTGGTGTCTAGAGAGGCCAGTATGTCTTTTGAGCCTCATAAAATGCTTTGGGCTTAGCTTATGCTGAATATATAATAGGAATAGAATAATAGAAAAAAATTTAGAAATTTAGCAAGGACACTAAGAGTAAACTGAAAATTTTTGTTTTTCTCCCTCATGACCTACATCACTGTGCTATTAAAAGTGAGTTGAAGTGACTTAGTATTTATTTCAATTTCCTATTTCCAGTTTGGGCATTATAGTTCAAAAAGAGTTAAATTTTACTGTCAAAAAAGGCATATCATTTCTCAGCCTTTTGACTAAGATCAAGTATAGTATCTGTTCTTATCAGCTTAAAAAAGGCTTACCAAGGACGAAATTTAAAAAAATTTTTTTATTCATTTATTTATTTGAAATGCGTAGTAACGGGTCGTAGAAGACAGAGAGAGAGAGAGAGCTCTTCCATCCACTGGCTCACTCCCCAAGTGGCCTCAATGGCCAGGGTTGGGCCAGGCTGAACTCCATCTGGGTCTCCCACATGGGTGTGGGAATCCAAGAACTTGGACCATCATCTACTGCTTTCCCAGTTGCCTTAGAAGGGAGCTGGACTCAAAGTGGAACAGCTGGGATTTGAACCAGCTCTTGGATATGGGATGTGGCATTGCAAGTGATGGCTCAACTCACTGCACCACAATGCTGGCCCCACTTTGCTGAAATTTTTTTAAAGATTTACTTATTTACTTGAAAGACAGTTACAGAGAAAGAAGGAGAGGTTTGGTGGGGTGTCTAACATCTGCTGGTTTGCTCCCCAATTGGCTGCAACAGCCGGAGCTGTACTAGTCCGAAGCCAGGAGCCAGGAGCTTCTTCTAGGTTTCCCACATGGGTACAGGGGCCTAAGGACTTGGACCATCTTCTGCTTTCCCAGGCCATAGCAGAGAGCTGGATAGGAAGTGGACCAGCCGAGACTCGAACGGTGCCCATATGGGATGCTGGCACTGTAGGCGGCGGCTTTACCTGCTATGCCACAGCACTGGCCCCCACTTTGCTGAATTTTTAAAATGAGATATTGGATCTGTTAAAGTTTTTGAGCATTGCTTATAAGAAACTTATCTTTGAGTTAAGTGTGAAACTATTAGTATCTCATGGAAAGAAGGTGTTTAGTTATACATATCATAATAAAGATGTGTCCTTTGGTTAAATCTTGTTTACTTCAAAAAGGAATAAATTATTTACCCTTTGGTAATGATAGATGCTGAGAATATAATGATGGTTACCAATAAAAAAGTAATAATGCAGAATGATAGTTATGTATTTAATACCAATGTGTTCTCTTTAGAAATGGATTTACATTTAAAGCTGTACGTAGGCTTGTTGATTAAAGGATATTTCTTTTTCCTTTCTTCCTTTTCTGTTGGACACAACTGGAACAATTGGCAGGAACAGTTTGACTTTTTTTTTTTTTTAATATTTATTATTTGAAAGTCACAGTTACACAGAGAGAAGGAGAGGCAGAGAGAGAGCGAGCGAGAGAGGTCTTCCATCTGCTGGTTCACTCTCCGATGGCTGCAGTGGCCAGAGCTGCGCCGATCCAAAACTAGAAGCCAGGACTCCCATGCAGGTGCAAGGGCCTAAGGACTTGGGCCATCTTCCACTGTCTTCCCAGGCCACATCAGAGAACTGGATTGGAAGTGGAGCAGCTGGGACTCAAACTGGCACCGACATGGGATGCCGGCACTGCAGATGGCGGCTTTTACCTGCTACACCACAGCACTGGCCCCCACAGTTTGACTTAATGTATTTCATTTTACATGCTTAGTAAAGCTAAGCTTTTCTTTTGGAGTGAGTTTCTGCTGTAGGATTTTATCACAGCTTCAAATAGCAGTTTTAAAACTTTCCAAACTTGGGGCCCATGCTGTGGCTCAGCGGATTAAGTCTACGTGCAGCGTGGCATCCCATACATGCCAGCTTGAGTGGTTCTAGTGTCTCCTGCTTTGCTTCCGATACAGCTCCTGCTGATGCACCTGGGAAAGCGGCAGATGTGGCTCAAACACTTGGTCCCTCACCACCCAACATCTTGGGGCTACTTGCGGAGTTTACCAGTGGATGGAAG